TAGCCACGTTTTTGTTTTTGTTTTTTTTTAAAATGTTCATTTTCCCTTCTTTAGCTCTGTCTAACTGAGTCCTCCTGTAACATCTGGTTGCAGGAGTGTCCCTCCAGGTCTCTAAGAATTTCCAGGAGTTACGTTGCCTCATCCTTTCTCCTGAATCTGTACTTCTGTGCTCTGCTTCTCTCCTGCAGGCCTGTCCCATTTTATTTAAATTTGATACCATCTATTTCTTCAGTGTATCTTCATGTATTTTCAGTGCCATTCTGAGCATGCCCTGTTCCTAAAGCATCAACTGTGCCAAGCCTGTTGGAGTAAAGTTAAAAGATTCTAAATCCTGTGTGATCTGCAGTGTTAGTTTTTAGCATTATAAATATATATGATTGAAAAACTTACCTCTATGTAACATGAATAGGGTTTGGTGTTTTTTTTTTTGTTGTTTTTTGGGTTTTTTTTTTTTCTTTTCTTTTTTTTTTTTTTTACCCAGAAGCCTCCAATTAAATATTTTAATGGAAATATGAACTTGTTGTAATGATTTTAAGAGTTCAGGAGATCCTGTTTTCCCAGAAGTGGTCTTGAAAAACGAAGTATAAGCATGAGATGTTTGTTTCAAAAGTTTAGCAAACTGTAGTAAAATGTGCCAAGTCTCTATAGCTCCCAGATGGTCACTAGCATGTCTACGGAGAGCCGTTTCAGTACTTTAGGACAGCTATGGGATTTCATATACTGTTAAATAAAAATTGGCAAGATTCATCAAGTCTTGTACGCTGGAGCCATCCCACATGTATCCAATTCTCAATAATTTATTTCGTTTTATGGCACTGCAATAAAGAAAAGAAATTTATAATTAATTTTTAGTTACAGTTGTATAATTTTTTTTGCGAGGTGTACTATTTTACTAAAATGATGGTAGATAAAATTAAATATGTTGTATCGCTGTACTCACATAAATAGTAACTCAGTACTTCAAAATATGATAATCTTTTAAAATGCTTTATATTACTAAGGTTTTGTTGTTTAGTTACAATGTATATACAAGTCAGGGCTTCACTTTTGCTGCAAATGTTAATTTGATATTCTATAAAATGAAGATATGCCCATTATTAATATTCTGTGATTTTTTTACTGCTATGTTAGATAAATCTTCCTAGAAGTCCTTGACATCTAAAAATAATGGGTTTATTTGTTGCAAGATCATATTTTGCTTAAGATTTGTTTTCATTTAGCCAAGATCTAATTGCATCTCATCTTAAATCATGTATCATTAAGGTTGCTGATGAAGCATCATATAATCCTAAGGAACCATAAGAGATTTTTCTCCTCCAACTCTTCCTCAAAGCAAGATCAACTAGAAGTTGCTCAGGATGTTGTCACTTGAGTTTTGGTTATCTCCCAGATTTGGGATATGTTTAAATTGGAATTTCCTGTGCTTCAGTTTGTTCCTGTTGCTGCTTGTCCTGTCACTGGGCATGACTGAGAAGAACCTGATTCCATCCGTTTTACTCCATTCCCCCTTCCGAATGGGGTATTTTCACACTTTGATAAGATCCTCCTTGAGCCTTCCCTTCTACAGGCTGCATAGTCTCTCAGCCTCTCCTTATATGACAGATGCTCCAAGCCCTTAATCATCTCTGTGGCCCATTGCTGGACTTAACTCCAGTGTGCTCCTGTGTCTGTCATACTGTGCAGCCCAGAACTGGACCCAGCGCTCCAGATGAGGTCTCACTAGAGCTGAGGTAGATTACCTCTCTGTCTGCTGGTGATGCTAAGGCAGCCCAGGATGCTGTTTGGCTTCTTTGTTGCTAGGGCACATGCTGGCTCATAGTCAGCTTGCTGTCCCCCAGGACCCACAGATCTTTTATCTGCAATGCTTTCCAGCCAGTAGGCCCCCAGCCGAGTGGTGATTGGGATTAATTTTTGGCACACGTTTGATTATTTATTTATTTATTTATTTATCTAGTTATTTATTTATTTTTTAAGTGCTAGGTTTCATATCCCTTTTTTCTGAAGGGACGTAAGATTCAGATGCATGTTACTGTGCATTACCTGTGCCATAGCATGTGTTCTGAACATGTGTGCTCTCTTTCTATATCAGGCATATGGGAAGAAGTTCAGGTAGACCTCAGTGGAACAGCATTAAGCTAAAATTTGTTATTTCGCTTTTGCCAGCCGTGACATGGCAGTTTTCGCAGCTCTGCTGCTGCATACAAATTTGTTACCTGCTGGTCACTCAACTGTCTGTGAGCGTATTTATTTGCTGAGAAAAGAAATGGGAATAGCAAACGGAATCCTCATTAAATTTTATGATATGCAGACCATATCAGATCACTGACAAAGCAAATGTCATATTTATAATGAAGTTTTCCTTTTCAAAACTAGTTCTCACTCCTGTAATGGTAAGTCTGTACAGTTCAGCTCAAAAAAAAGATAGAAGTCAGTAAAATGATTTATTTTTTTCAATTACTTATTTCACAACACTACCCCTGTACTAGCTCACTTCTTATTTCAGGCAAGGTTTATGGTTTTCATAAAACATTTACTGGAACATTGACTTTACAATTTTATCTTGTATCCCCAGGCAATTTTTTCAGTAGGGTGTTTGATATTTAGTACAGTATATAATCTTTTCCTTCAAAAGAAAGAGGTAGAAAATTCTTTGATTCTATGATTATCTTTAGAGAAAGGACTTTCTTCCTAAATGTGCATTACTACAGCAAGCAACAGGGCTCAGTTCTCTTAAAAAGAACAGTGTCTGTAGTTTTTCCTGAAACAACAATGATGCATCTTTCTTTCCTGAATATTTAAAAGCATAGAACAGTCATGTTTTATCAGACTTTGCTCTTAAGGAAATGTGTGTGCTGGAAAGATTGGTATTTCACAGCCATGTGCGTATCTCCTCTGTAAACTGGTTGTCAGCAGCCAGTCTCTTTGAGCAGGTGATTCAGCATGTACCTGCAGCATCTTCCTCTCCGCCACTCTCCTGTTGTGTTCTTAGTCCTGGAAAGGGATTCCAGCATTGTGTTGTCACTTCTCTGGATCATCCTTTCTGAGGCTCACAGGCAGAGTTGAGCAGCTTACTGTTCATACACAGAACACACGTAGCACAACATTTCTATGAATGGACAGACAAACCTATTCTCCTCTGCCCATCTATATTCTTTTGGCAGACTTGACAAATTGGCAGCAAAACCCAACAGGATTTTGGGAAATATTTGCTTATATTTGTCTCTCCCTTCAGAGGTATCATGTTCTAGCTAGGAAATTTTATCTAATTCAGACTGACGCTTGGAGCTATGATGTCTCTGCTGTTGAAGTAAAAGTGAAGATTCCTGAAATGCATCTTTTGTCTTTCTATTTGCAGAATGACAGTGTTGTTCCTTCCTTTCTGGTTACTGAAGTTGTTACTGTATTTGCTCTGTTTTTCAAAATTGTCTATTTCTAAACTCTTTTGGTACACTCACAACATTGCACCTTGCTGCATGGCCAGGACACTACCTAACTGAGCTGAGGATTTCCATTACTCATGTAGGTTTTATTGTGCTGTGTTCATGCTAGGTCTTGAACAGAATTATAATATACTACTTAAAAAGTAGTTCTTGGTAACTAAATGACTAAAGAAGCTTAAGGCTTCTACTGACATACGTAGAAAACATGGTGTGAACACTTGCGCATGGGGAAGGAACTGAGATGACATGCACAGCTGGTGGCTAAACTTTGAGGAAATGTGAAAACTTATTGGAACATCCTTTGCTTAGCGCTCAAATTAAACATCTGGTGGCTAAACTTTGAGGAAATGTGAAAACTTATTGGAACATCCTTTGCTTAGCGCTCAAATTAAACATCATACTTACCAGTGTCATTTACAAACTAGTAACACCTGAATCACAATGAGAGTTTGACTTCAGTTGCATTGATTTTCCAATCTATTCTTCTGTTCCCGATTGGTTCAGAAGCTTTTGAAGTCTTCATGTCTCTGCTCGGGAAAACCTGGAAGCATCATACAAACCAGAGGACTGAAAAATGGGGAGGGGAAGGAAGAATGGAGAGTAGGGGAAGATAAAACCTGTTTCCATATGAAGATTCTGGGAAAATTTATCAGTTTATTAAAATTGCAATGTGTCTGTCTATCAGCAGTAATTGTTTTCATGCCTTTGCAGTGAAATTAATATGGAACATGTAGGCACTCCTATTTTTATAACATAGGTGGATTTTGGAACAGATTCAGACAACGTGTCATTGCACAGACTCACTAATGTTAACCTGGAGCCACCTGTAGAGTTGAAAGACTGCAGTGCTGTAACTGCATCTTACTCTGCTGTTAAAATTTTTCAGTTTGGTTCAAAACTGTTAATACATTTGCAATTTTTACTTCTTGATTCAAGACAGAAACTTGCTTTTTATTGTTCTGGTCAACTCATCTCTTCTGTTTTCTAGAGAAGGTTAACATATTATGAAGCTACTGTATGCCTTTCCAAAGTTGAGTGACTTCAAAATAGCTTTTTACTTTCAACTTTCTTTTTGTACTTACATACGAAAGTTACTCAGATGTCTTCAGTATCTTACAGTACAGAAATGCAGGAAAGTAAATTGTATGTTTTAGCCTTTTTAGACTGAAAAAGCATTTTAAATTACAACTGTAGGAAGGTGTCTTGGGCTCAGATTGAATTTCTTTATGCCTGACTAAAGGTGATTTTGACAATGTTAGGAATTAGATTCAGTTCAGAATTTCTAGTTTTGAGTCATTGCTTTGTCGTACGTTTCATATGTTGACTTATAAATTCATTTGAGGCCAGTTGTATAGTAGTACTTAACATCCGTTTGGTCAAAAGAACAAATAGGTAGTTCCTAGAAAGAGTTAGGCATATCTTAATAGGAAAGTGGTTAGAAAAATCATTAATGCTAATGAGATGCCATGGCACTTCGTCACATGGCATAATGTCAGGATATAAATTGAAATATCTAGTATCTTTTAATGTAGTGAGACTGTAATACTGTTTTAACTACAGGTACCGAGAGGCTATTAAGAAGTGGGATGAAGCACTTCAGTTAACTCCAGAGGATGCTACGCTTTATGAAATGAAATCTCAGGTAAAGCATGTAAAACACTCAGGTAACTGTGCTTGTGAACAAATGCCATGCAAAATTGTGCAGTGGTTGTGCACATAAAATACAGAACACTTTAGGTCTTTCATTTTTCCCAACCCTATCTTTTAGGTATCTTTTAGCAGCAGTTAAAATAATGATGTTATCCCAGCCAATCACAATAAACAACATCTTTGTTAGGACAGGAATTAGGATGTTACAATGTGGAACAAGTAACTGGAATATTTAAAAATTGCATTGGGAGGAGCAAGGAGAACCTGACTGTAATAGATTAGTGAATTTGACCATTAAAAATCTGGCTGCTCTTTCTAGAGTTGGTTTAATACTGTGAACATTAAACAAGGATACCGTATGCAAAAGATATGCTCTGTTCTGTTTTCATATTTAGTGTTACATTGTAGTAGTTTTGGAAAAGAGCATTAAACAGGGTATACTTGTGATGTCAATTCATCAGGGCCTTTATTTTAAAGCTGAGGAAAAAAGCTTGCAGTTGTCAACGCCTCACTGAAGTGATGAGACCAGCTTGTAATTTCAGTGTGTCTTTGCATGGTTTAGATGGGAAAAGTGCAAGGATCCATTATTTTGTTTGGATTGGGAAGCTTTTGTCTCCATCTGTATGCAAAGATACAAAAATATGTATTGTTTTTCTGTATTAAATAAAAATGCACTTCTGCAAAAATAGTTTTAATTTGAATCGAGGATGAGAACAAGAAATGTATGGTTTCTTTCAACCAAATGGGCAGATCAGAATGGGGAAAAACTATTTTTAGGATGGTAGCTACTCAAGACGTGGCTGAAAAATTTTTTTTTAAAGGTAGGAGAAAGAGAAAGGAAAAGAAAAATAAAATGGTGTTAGTAACTTCTAGGAAGCTCACTATATTGCTTAGGTTTAAAATCGTTGTTTCTGTAATTTTTCTTTTCTCATATAAAAACCCAAAACACCACCACGCCCCCATCCCAAAATAACCCTCCCAAATCCCAACTACCCCCAAACCAAAGGTGTGGTAACAACTCTTTTTTTTTGTCCTGGATGCTGTCACATCCCCTCTTCACCTCACAGTCATGTTGTCTGTGAAGAAATTTTGATACTGCAAAGGGATTGTGTGAATAATCACCAGCTCATTTCAATGCAGAAATGCTGAAGGAGGCATTTGTTTTGTATAGCTGCAGAAAGTTTAGATCTTAGTTGGGTTTGCATTTGGTTTGAGAAATAATTTGTGGCTTTAAAGGTTTTTCTTCCTGAGTTATTCTGGGAGAACTGTATTGCTGGATTTCTTTGTCAACATATCGTATGTGTGTAAGGGATCCTGATAGGCTGTATAAGGAAAAACTCAGGGAGCGGTGTCTATGAAGTGTTGATTTCTGACTTAGTTTATTAATTTGAATGGTGTTGGCAAGAAGATGCAATAATTTATTGGTTTTACTTTAAACTGCTGAATTTTTCTAGTGCATTCCTCTCATTCCATACCCTACATGATGCTGAAAAGTGAGCATTTATTCTCCCCATTTTCTCCCAAAGTTAGATTTGTAGCCAGTTATTTCTTCCTAACTTCTAAAACCGGAGGCAGGTATGTCCATAGACCTTTTGGAAATTCTGCAGTGGTACTTTCTTTTAGCTTGGGCACACTTAGGATCAGATCTGTATGTTACTTAGATTGCGTACTAGTATTAACAGATGTCGTATATGATTTAGGTGCTTGACTCCTACATACTTCTATGGTAACAAAACATCATAAACATGTAGACCTCCATTAAATATTTACTTTTATTTGGATGCTTTTACATCAACACTAGCTTAAATGAAAGAGCTGTCTAGCACAGTATCCTGACAACTTCCAGCAGTGAATGGCTGTCATCAAGACATAAAGGCTCGTATAAATGGTATGAGCCTGCAGCAGTACTCCCCTCACGATACTTTTCCCAGCCTTTAGCAAGCTTTGGCCCTGGGACTTCTCTGTGTTTAGAAGTGCTTGAAAGACATTTCTTCAACAAATTTGTCTCATTGCTATCTGCTGTCATCTGAACATTTAGCATCTGCAGAGCTGTATCAAGGAGTTCCAAATCTTTAATTATGCATTATTGCAAGAGACAGAATAATACAATTCTGCTTTAATTAGCAACTTTCTAGGATGCTGTAGAGGTGGTTAACCTATGTAGCTGTTCATTTGTATGTTTAATTTTTAACTCCAGTAGTAAAGAAATTCTGCTAAGATGTAAAAATAGTCCTGTAATTTATTTATTTATTTATTTTTAAAACTCTGTTTGAATAAAACAGAACACCTAATGGGATTTCTTCTAGTTTGGGAAGAAACGGTTCATGTGCTCTGATGCTGGCTTCTTGACACAGGGTGGTTTTGAAGCAGCCCTTACTTTGTGTTTAGAAATTATATATATATATTTATACATATTATAGCTTAAAGTCAAGAGAAAACTGTTGAAAAGGACAGTTAGTGGGATGAATTAATGAATAGCTCTCTTGTAACAGCTATTTATTGTAATCTTATGTGCATGCAGGAATTAAACCAGCTTTCCAAAAGTACTCTATTTAATTGAAATTATACTAAAATATTTTCACAGTGGAAATAACAGGCGAACAGGGAATAATGTTATCTTACCAGGATCCAAATTATGATGCAGTGACTTATCCAAATGGATGCTCACTACAACATCCTTCAATCGGTGCTCCAGCTGCAATACCTAATACTGAGAGGTGATTGCTTACTTGGCACCCCATTCCCTGTGTTTCAGCTAAATGGCAAAGGTGAGTTGGAGCTGAGCTGAGGAGCCAGCTGTGTGACTCTGAGTTGTCTTGTAAGGTATTTTTGCCTGTTTAATGAAACCACTGGGGATTAATGACAGCTGCAAGAATAAAGGGACCCAGGCCTCTTCTTCCATGGTGCTCTTGCTTCCTTTCCTGAAGAGCAGTTCTGGGCAGCTGGCCTGTTTCTTTTTAGTTTCACTTTCTGATATTGCGTAACACTTCTATTACACCGCGAATGAGAACACAAGAAGAGTTTGTGTAAAAAATATGCATTTATAAAATAACTTCTTGAATCATGTCAACAAATCCTCTAATCTTTAAATTGGTAACATCTTTCTAGTACACGCAAATAATTATTACAGATGTCTTTTTACAGTATGACTTATGCTTACTGGAAGCTGGTTAGTATAATGTGCAATTTGATACCTTTCTACTTTTAAAGGCACTGATGTGAGCTGTAAAAATCCATTTTTGCCAAAATAGGAATATGTAATTAATTAAAAAAATATTGTGGTTAATATTTAAATGATACTGTCTTAGAGCTGACTGTGTTATTCCAATCCAGCATACTAGCACAAATACTGCAGCAAATATTTTGTAGCTAAATGAGAAACTTTGGGTAGTTCCAGATCTGGGAGGACTGTACACCAACTTCAGCAAGGGCTTGAGAAGCACTGGGCCTATGAAAATCTGCATGTCTTGGAATGTGAGTCACTAGAGGAGGTGATTCATGTTAAGAATGATTTTGAGTGATATGCGGAGATTCTTTATGGTCTATACTAATTTTCTTTCAGTGAGGATAAGTTTTCTCCTGAAGTAATATCTTTTGAGAATTAACATTGAGTGGAGTGTTTTGCACAGGCTTGAATATCTGTATGTCCTGTTACATTGATTGTGATAATCTTATGTTGGGTTATGTAGCAGCTTTCCAATTCATCAGTATTTCCTTTCTCAGCAGCAAACTTAACATTTTAAATACTCCGTTGTTTCATATGGAGCTCAGATAAATATGCTGGTGACACAGTAGGAATCTGTAAATACTTCTGGTAAGTTCTTAAAGATCTGTATTTTAACAGATGGAGAACATACGTCTGTCAGTGTTTCTGAAGAACGGAAATAGCGTTTAAAGTTCCTAGTTGTCAATGACACTTGCAGTAAGTGTTTTTCCAGAAAAACATATGGGAATTGTGGAATTGCTCAACTGCTTCAGAAACTCATAAAAGTTGATGGGATTTTATTTTCCATTGCACTCAGCTACTTTTTGATCCATTTAAAAACAGATTAGTATGGCGTGTGAAGAGGTTAAGGATGCACCTAATACTGTTCTTTGCATGCACAATGTTTCAGTGTATATATTTGACACTCTATTACCAGCCAAAATGGCTCCCCCATTGAAAGAACAATGATTGGTAAGTAAATGCAATGTTTATGCAAGCACTTCATGTCTATATTTTTGTTGAAAACAAACAAAACACACACATACACACACACACAAAATCAAACAAAAAAAAACGAAAACCACCCCAAAACCCAAACAAAAGAAAAAAGAATCCAAGAAGTTTAAGCCCCCCAGTACCCAAAGAACAGCCTAATATTGATTCCAGTATTAGATAAGTTGTATCATAAGTATATGCGAAAGAGAAAAAAAATCTACGTATATTAATACAGTCCATAAAACTGATTGAAATTCATTGTAGGTTAGGTTTCTTAAACATTGACTGGATTATTTTATTGCTGCTTTGAATTACAAAGATGGAGGAAGATGCTTGAGAAATTCTTGGAATTAGGATCTGAATGTTTGTATGCTAGACCATGTGGGACTCCTTCTTGGATGAAGAGAGATACCAAAGGACTTACTACATTATGAGATATATAAACAAATATATAGTTAACAAATTCTCTTGCGAATTGGGCACTCTGCTATTCCGCACCACTCCTGAGAATTCCCTCGTTCATGTTGCTCATCCAGTGGTACTTCCACTTCAGATCTCAGATAACATTGTCAAACACACTGTGCAACTATGGCAGGATTCCTGAAGTACACAATACAATTGTTCATAGATATTTATAGAAACAAGTAAATATAAATAAAAGTCAGGTTTACCTCCATTCAGTAAGCTTTTTGGATATTTGTCATCTGTTGTCTGAGGATCTTGTTTCTATACAATCTTGCATCCTCAATTTGCATTGGTTGAACAGGACCCATCATGCTCATTCAAATCAT